GGCAGTCAAAAGACAGCAACCAAAACCGGCGCTCGAATATGCGTGGTTAACGGTTGTTCAAACCGAAACTGGTTATTACAGGATGCATAGGCTTCCACCAGATGATTCGCCTATCAGAATAGATCGCTAAAATCATTTTTCCCCTTCGGATTGCAACGATATGTGTAGCAGTCTGCTTCGCTTTGTGGCTTTCCAATCCATCTCGGGATATTTGAATAAATACACCCCATGTAGGACGGTGTCCATTTCATCACTATCCGCGGTTTGAATTTAAGCATTCAAACCTGCCATATGCGTAACTGCTTCGGGAGAGAGCGCGGGTGCCCTACCTTGTTTCTGCTTTATCTTCACGGGTAGAAAAGTTCGGGATAACTCACTTTCATTATGCAGTAAAGATGGTAAGTGATGAAGTAAGGTCCCCACAAACGCATGGGAATTATGAACAGCAACGGTTTCAATACCGTCGGGTACAGATATGAGTTAACCACCAGCCTTTGCTACTCGCGCAATAGCTGAATGCTAGCAGTTTGTAAAATTCAGTTTGTTGGAATCCGGTGATCAGCCAGGCTTTTTTGACACACTATTTAAAATGTGTTTTCTGTCGGGCTGAGTTTATGACAGGTTTTGAATCTCAGAATAACTTCCATGCAAACAGTCGAAAGTGGGAAACTAGGAATTCGCTCTTCAAAATTTTCATCGTTTACAATGTTCCGAACACGTTGAATGCACTGATCCATCTGTTGCGTCTATGCGCCCCGAGCACGGTTGAAAGAAGGCTCGGGGAGGTCATCCCAAGACGTGGCAGAATGAATCAAAGAAGCTGGTGGATACTTGGTTGGGTGTAGGCTCTTAAATATTCTTCATTTTTTCATTTTACTTACTCTTATAAACTATATTGCAATACTAGACAGGTGTTTCGTCTTGTTTGGTACTCATCAGCAGTGCGTATCTTTTGTGTCCCTGTCAGGACTCGAACCGCGAACATTCGGATCGGGACCTCAAACCCTTACCCCTGAGCTGCACGGTCGACAGTTATCACCTTGTGCGAGTGGCTTAATCAATTTATATGCTGAATGTTTGGATTGGCCCATTCGGTTTTTCACAGGCACCATGTATATTTTCAGGAGGAGGTAAGAGGCCAGTGAAAGGACTGCCATGAACCACAGAATGCGGAGTCAGTTTGTGGTGGTCGTACACGTCCTTCGGGGCAATATTTTGGTGACCTTTACCACTCGGTTACCGCAGCTGACTTCTACGACGGGGTGTAGAGCGTCAAATGGCTCTGATTATAAATCTTTATCTCGCAATCGGACGTAAAGTTTGAACTGCTCAATTGTATTCTGTTTCTCTGTATACCACAAAAAGATCAAAATACCACGAGATTGAAAATATGCCCACACACTAACAATGTTAACTAACAGTCCTTTTATTCTTAATCCGTTTTACTTATCAGCGCCAATTTCTCAAATTTTTGTACGATATCCTTTTTGGCGCACCGTCAGAAGCCAGACCAATGTGGAATATGTGCATATGTATTTTGAATAGATCCTCCGTTTTCTGGAACGGTGAAGCTGCCATAGAATATAGAAATGGGAGCGTTAGGTGTTGATGATTAGATTTGCATTCGTTATCTCTGGCGCGACTCATGTGTCCGTATTTGCGTGCACATTTTAGATACTAGGCAAGACATATAGTCAGTCATAATTACTGAATCTGCATCTTCAGACCCCGGCACGTTCACTACGATACGCTAACGCACTTAGAGGTGAACAGTTATTTTCAATGTGTCATTTACTTGTCTCGGCAGATTATAGAAGCTAATAGCGTCCTAAGATGTCCTTCATTCGGTCAAAGTCCACGGGAATAGGGTACAGATGGGAGTAATTCACCGGATTGTGTTACTCGGTAAATATCATAGCACTTTGAAATGGTACTCCGCATAGGAGGGATCCACCTGTAATAGTATTCCGTGTTGCCTGTCGAGTTCTGTCTCACCCTTCCTCTCGTGCACATTTTAGAGGTGGTCATATCCGTGTGTCCACCTGTGCGCGTAGCAGAGACTGGCACACGAAATCCTGGTTCTATGATCACAGCTGGGTTGAACACATGACAGATCGCAGAAACGTTATTTACAAGTGCTGTGAAACGTGATAACCCCCTCCCCCCATCATCCCACTTACAAACAAATATTGTCCGATTAGTTCTGAGATGCGCGAGGTATGATTCTCGCATTAAGCTATACCAAATTGAAAAACGCTCTGATCCACACCCAGTGATTGAGTGAGTAACATGCTTACATTCCAACTGTGGGGTCCGGTGTTCTATCCTCGGCTGGGTCGATGGACTCGCGCTGCTGATGAGACCCAACGAGGTCTAAACAGCTGTTTAGTACTTCCCAGCTTTTAAGCTCACCCCACATGTATACTTCGAATCAATTATAAAAGGAAATCAGATCCTCAACTACTCCCATGCAGTATTGTCTTAGACAAACAGAGAGACATACTGAATGAACCATTTTCTTTTTCGATCCGTTTAGGCAAGTTGTTTGCATTGTTTGGCGGATTTAGAGAAGCTTTTGACAAGAGAAAATATTAGTAACCTCGGCCGTATATAAAGCCACGCATGTGTTATCTGCACATGCTCCTCCAGTGATTCTAGGGATAACCT